GGTCCTATTATGCTTAAATTTTCAAAAATTTATAACTATTTTTTACCTAAATTTTTTCGACAGATCATTTCGTTCTGTTTCGTTTATGATCATGTAGGTAAAAATATACATGTAATGATAATTTCGATTCATTCACTAATAAGAAATATCAATGACTGAATTACAGGTTATAGTAATATAGTCCTAAATGTTAATAGGTAGACAATTCGTAATTTTTTACTTTGGAATACCTGTATCGGAAATGACAAGAATTGGTATATAAGTAAACTTCTCAGATTTTAAGTACCATATTTAATAAATCTACAATGAAGATTACATTAAAGTACGAAGAGTTGTGTTCCGTTTTATGGAGTATATCTTCAAAAGGGCCAGAAAGAATTGAAGACATTTCAAATTATATAAAAACTACATATAGTAGAAAAGTAGACAAAACAGGCATATCAAAAATTGAAAACTTTTTAAAACTTTTTGATGTAAAAAGTAAGTCTGTGGATGGAAATCAAAAGAAATTTCGATTAAAATTTTGTAGTTGGATGGAAACTACTACGGAAATCTCAACTTACAACACATCAATAGGAGCGCCTTGCAAGTCATACGAAGACTTATGTTCAAGGTAAAAAAAAGAGGGTCACACAAAAACTTTTTTCAATCTCAAATGAGGAAATTGCTGATACATTTAACGAAATGCTGAAAAAGGAAAACCAACATATGGATGTCGTACATATTGCAACTATTCTTCCTAATGCATCACCAAAACGACTTAAGCGAATTGTGGAAAGTATACCAACTCCAACATCATAATCAAATTTTACTGAAGAGGAAGCAATAGCGCTTATGTTGGAACTGGGTCTCAGTCGAAATAAGTACCAAATATTAAGGAAAGCTCTGCATGAAAAAGGACACAATATATTACCATCATACAAGGCGATCCAGGAAAAAAAAAACAAACTATCCTACTAAATCAACAAAAAATAATGAAGAATTGAAAGAACTGAGAGCTGCGGAAAAAAGCAGAATCCAAGAAGAATTTAAAGTTCAGATGGGATTAAACATCGACAAACCACTTTCAAGTTGCGGTAGTACAAATGACGGTAATACGTCGAGAAGGTTTTTTCGTGATTTTGAAATTACTTCAAAAATAACTGGAATCGACAAGGAGTTGCTTCGAAGAGTTAAAACTATTTTAATGGCACTGAATAGTAAACATAAAATTAATGAAAATCGATTTGGGGAATACACATCTGAAATTTCTAAATTACTTGTATCTCTGTATCCATGGAGGGAACTAACACCAACAGTACACAAAGTATTGTGTCATGGTCAAATAATAATTGAATCGAATATTCTTCCACTTGGAGAGTTAACAGAAGAAGACCAGGAAGCGAGGAATCGAGATTTTAAGCATGTTCAACTATTCAGCTCAAGAAAATGCTCCAGGCAATCACAGAATGAAGATATTTTTAATAGTTTACTTCTATCTTCTGATCCTGTTCTTTCAACTATGCGAAAAAGATGGATTTGTTATGAAACTCTATCATCTCAAAACAAGGAAGATTTAAAGAACTTATATTACCTTCTGGATATGTATACCGATATGACAGATTATTTTATAGAAAATAAGTAGTGTTAGGAATTAACTATATAATTAATTGTATTATGTTTGATAAACAGTTCAAATAAAAAAAGCTATTATACTAACTGATGATATTGTATTAAATTGTGTTTTATATTTCGGTGGGGGGGAAAGGTAATTTGTGTGGGGTGATTTAGGTGTTGTTGTGCGTGGCTCATAATAAAATTATAATTTTTTTATTTTATATACAATATTATAATAAAATAATTAAATAAAATTACTAAAATATGAAAAAGATGAAATTAAAGGACACAGGTTTAAATGAACATATTTTTGAATGTAATTGAGATATTGGCTTGAAATTTTTTGTAAAGGGTCGAGAATTTCCATATCTAACTAAAAAATGATATTAAGGGATAAATATGGACTAAATTGTTGTAGCTATCTGCGATCCTATTAAAATTTTGATATAAATCATAGTTTTAGAAATTAAACAAATATGTAATATATGACAAAATCTTTATTTATGAACAAAACTCAATGAAATTTTCAACGCTTGTTAAATTTGTCATTTCAAATAAGAATATGCAAAAAAAAATTGAAAAGGTCAAAGGGCATCCCGCAATTCCCAAAAATAGGAATGAAAATCCCAAAAATGGGATTTTTTACTTTTTTGCCCATAGGGTCCACATTTCTTTCAGGGCTGGGAAAATACTTTTGGAGTAAATAGAAAACATATTGAGGTTTCCAAAACTGCTTTCAGTTTTCTGATCCCAGCTTTGGGATTTTAGAACATGTCGCCCAAAGTTGAAGTTTTGATAAAAAATAGGTCATATTCGGAAGGACGCAGTGGCAACATTTTCAAAAAATAGGACAAGTTTTTTACGCCAAAGCGTTCTGCGTAAAGATACCTTTTAGAAAACTATAAAATTGTTATATGTTCTTAATAAAAATTTTATTTTATTAATAAAAGAGTTAAGACACATTTTTGGCAAAAAAACGCCAAAAATCTAAATTTTTTTGAATTTTTAAATTAAAAAACGTATATTTTTGGATCTGTAAACAATATTGATCTGAAATTTTTTGTATATTATTGGAAATTTTGTTGTCTAACTAACAAGAAAAAATTGAGTCCATTTGGTCCAAAATTACGCCCGGTATTCAAAAAAAGGCGGACCAAGGTATGGTAAATTTTGTATCACTAAATTTTTAAATGCCTATAACTCGGATATTATAAGAGATAAGTAGTATGTCCAAGCATGTTTTTTCAAGATCTCGTCGAGCGCTTTCACAAAATATAAAAATCTTTGTATTTGGGTGAAAAACAAAAAAATGGCACGAGTTTAAAAATTTTACATGTCGTAGGTACCCTACTTTGAGCCGCCACAGCGTCATCTGTCCCTGGGGCATCTGCAGGGTTCATCTTCAAAACTTAAACTCGAATACTCCTTGGCCAAATTTTATCCAGATCGGATCAGCCGTTCCAAAAAATTTCCATTCTGCCCCACTGTGCGACGGGGGACGATAAATCGATAGGAGTGTGAGAGGTTTGTTGTTCATCATTATATCAATTTTTATCATTTCGAACGATTTCGTGTTTATGCTGTCGACAATAAAAGTTATTTCTTCCTTTATGTAAACTGCGATTCCTCCTCCCGCACCTACTCTATTTATGAAGAGAGAATTATAGCCTATTATTTTGTAAAAATCTGTTTCATTGTCGTTTATATTGGTTTCAACAAGAACAATAATTTTTAGTTTGTATATAATATTATGGATAGTAGCGAGAAAAGTATTAAAATTTTTGCGAATTGAACGTATATTCATATGTAAAATAGTTAAGGGATAACTTAAGGCTGTTTTATCAATCTGATTAATACAATTGTGTTTTTCTTGTTTAAAGTTCATAGTTTCTTTAATTTATTTTTAAAATATTATGTTTGGATAAAAGTTTAAAGACATTAACGGGTCCAGACACTGAATTTAATAGATTTGTAGGGAAAAGTTTAAAAACATTAACGGGTCTCCACGATGAATTAATAGATTTGTGGGGAAAAGTTTAAAGACATTGACGGGTCTAAACAATATATTCAATATCGGCTGAATTTTTGATAAGAATTGCAGGTGTGTTATCTGATTTTCTGGCAAAAATAGATCCGTTTCGTGTCCAGATATATTTCCAGTTATTTTCTTTTGCTTTAGTTTTTGCAAGCCAGAGAAGTTTACGGTTAAGGGCTGTTAAGCAGTCATTTATATATATGAAACTACTGTTACCGTCATTATTTATTATGTTACCATCAATCCTGTGGCGTTTAATATGTTCCATAAATTCTCTTTTTTTGATGTGGGTTGTGAATTCGACAAATATTTTATCTTTAATACTTTTTATGCGGTAGGCATCACTGATATGATATTCATTAATGTCAACATTTATTGAAGCTGCTATTTTTTTAACCACATCATAAGGTTGTATTTCTTGGTTTTTCACATTTTTTATTTCGATTTTTTTGTTAAGCATTTGTTAGTGCATCTGATTTATTTTTGAATCCATTTCTTTTATATCTTTTTTATTTTCCTTATTCTCTTCTCTCATCTCTCCCATTTGCATTAACAGATTAGAGAGAGTTGATGTAATTTGAGAAAGGGCTGTTTTCATCCCCTCTTTAAAGCTGTCATCAGATTGGCCTACTCTGAGAGATAAATGATCAACGGAAGTTTTTAGGTCTATTGTTAAGTAATTATTGCTTAATTAAAGAAATATTTTAATTTATATTTTAATTCAAACAATAACTATGTTAATTAGTTTTAGTTAAAGAAATATTCAATTTATTTAATCACTTTGATTTTACTTGCGAATTTTAAACCTTACTGTTGGAATACAACGAAGAGAAGAGATCGAAAAAAAGCTTAAAATTTAGTGTGTACCTAATTAGTACTTATTAATTTTAATTGAGTGACATTAAAAAACAAGTAAAACAAAATAAAGCAAAAATATCAAAAATAAATTTACATAAATATTGTAATAAGTAATTCCGTTAATCTTAAATGCACTCATAGAGATAAAAATGCAAGAGCGGTAAGAATGATGTATGTACACACATCACAATTACGTCATTAACTGGTCAACAGAATAAATATTAAATATTGATTCTCTTGACTATTGAATTTTAAATATACTACGATCAATTTGAGTAGGTACACTAATTAAATTTAATTAATAAGATTAGAATAAATATAATAAGTATTTGTGTTGGAAAGAATTAATTTTTGACAACATTCTCCCCCCTTAAGAACGAATGTTTTTAAAGTGGGATGATTTTAATTCGAGGACGGCCTATAGATGGGAGTAATTTTAGTCGAGTTATGAAACTCCGCTATGCTCCGACTCACAACGTATTACAGTAGGTTCCATCCTCCTTCAATTTCATTACTTGTGCGAGTTGTTTTTAACGGTACAATCTGGTGATTTGTCTGGAAGAAAAGAAATCTTAGATATTGGTCGTTTCATTACTTTATTTTTAGTTTGAACAGATACCACCCTTATTAGCCCATCAGAACCTGGATGAACATCTTTGATACGACCAAGTAGCCATTGTCCTGGACCGCATCTTTCATCAGCAATGAGCTCTAATTCTACAATCCTAGGATTTGCATTGATCTTCAACCATTTCGGGCGTGCTTGAAGACGGTTAAAATATTCTCTATACCACCTTTTCCAGAAATGTTGTTTTAATAATTCTACGGATTTCCAGCGAGTAAGATGATTGATGTTTTGATCAAGCAATTTCTCCTCTTGGACACATTGTAATGGTTCTCCTACAAGAAAGTGCGCAGGGGTAAGCGCATCAAAATCGGAAGGGTCTGAAGATAGAGGGCATAATGGCCGAGAGTTTAAACAACTTTCAATTTGGCAAAGCAGAGTTACCAGTTCCTCAAAGCTTAAAAGTCTATTATTCGTGATACGTTTTAAGTGGTGTTTTACCGATTTTACACCAGCCTCCCATAAACAACCAAAATTTGGTGAGGCTGGTGGAATGAAGTGCCAGTTAGTACAGTTTAAACTTAATGCCTGGCGCAAATCATTTGGCAAAGATTTTATATTTCGGTTGTATAGAATTTGGAGTTCCTTTGAAGCTCCTACAAAATTTGTCCCGCAATCTGTATAGATATCGGAGCACGCTCCTCGTCGGGACTCAAAACGTTTAAATGCAGCCAGAAAAGCATTTGTAGAAAGGTCTGAAACAGCTTCCAGGTGTATGGCCTTTGTGACCATGCACACAAATAAACATATGTAACCTTTGGAAACCACTGCGGATCTTAATGTTGAGTTCTTAAGTGTTATTGGACCTGCATAGTCAACACCACTATGCTTAAGGGGTCTTGCAACATTTAGACGAACATATGGTAAATTACCCATAACTTGTTGTGAAGTTTTAGCTGAATATCTAAAACATTTCATGCATTTATAAATTATGGATTTTGCCAATTGGTTTCCAGAAACAATCCAAAATTTACGATTCACAACAGACATGGTAAGTGTAATACCACCATGCAAAGTTCTCTCGTGTGAGTCTTTGATTATATACTCTGAGAGTGGATTCGATTTAGCTAATACTATTGGATGCTTTACATTGTAACTCAAAGTAGAGTTTTGTAAGCGACCTCCAACTCTAATTATACCATTTTCATCGAGAAATGGCATAAGTTTAAGTAAAGAACTTTGTTTTATATCACGATTTGTAGAGAGTAGCTTTATTTCATTTGGAAAATCAACTAATTGTGTCAGTTTAATCAATATTAGCAAAGTTTCGTTTATTTCCGATATTCTTAGGAAGCTAGTCCGTTTTAATTTAGGATTTTTACAATTGTAAATAAAACGAAAACACAAAGTAATAGTTCGAAGTAGAGTTCTCAATGTAGAAAATCTAAAAAGTATTTCGGGGTATTCCCTTTTGCTACACGTATTGGTAGAACATTTAGTCAATATTTGCTCTTCAGATGTATGTAAATTTGAAAGGCCCTTTGGCCAAAAGGATAAAGGTTTATAAAGAAATTGTGGGCCAAACCACCATGTTTGATCATCAACTAAATCCTCTGGAAAAACTCCCCTAGAAGCGCAATCTGCCGGATTCAAAACTGATGGGACATATCTCCACTGATCTGTATTACTTTATCTTTGTATATCCGCAACTCTATTTGCGACGTATACAGTCCAAGAGGAAGGAGGTCTTTGTATCCAACTTAAAACAGTTGAACTATCACTCCAATAATAAATATTATCAATGCCAACGCTTCTTTCACAGATTGAGCCAACTTGACTAAAAGATTGGCAGCGCACAATCTCGGTATATAAATAGTTTTGATTGGTGATACTTTTGATTTTGCCTGTAAAATGTTCACAAATATACCATTAGGATTGATAATTCTTGAATAAATAATAGCCGCATATGCTGCAGTTGATGCATCACTGAAGCAATGCAATTCTATTTTAGATTCTATCGACCAACGAATCCATCGAGGAATTTTCAATTTGCAAGTTGTGGCAATGATGATTTATATTTAAGCCAGCGTTTCTCAATTTCCGATGGTATTTGCTCATCCCAGTCTAACCCATGTTCCCACAATTGCTTAAAAGTTCAAAAAGTTTGTTTTGAAGTGCTGGACCAGGTGAGAGTTCCTCATTAAGAGACTTGCAATTATTTAAATGACAACTTCCGTCAAAAACAACTCTCAATTTGGTCGTTGTGCTGTTCTCCTTAAAGACACCATGATGAGGCAAAAAATAAGAATTCTGGCGAATATCTTAGCAAATTTGGGACATTTAGGAAATGAAATCTCTAATTGTCTTAGTCGTTTGAAAGCACCCATGACATTGTTTTGAATATTTGGTTCAGTATTATCGTAAAGAAGAGATTTAAATGGTAAATGTACCATATAACGGCCAGATTCTGTTTGACTTGTTGTAGTCTCAAAATAATGTTCACATGCTAATTCTTCATTAGTTAATTTCCTCTTCGTAACTACTTCCTCCTGTCCCCAGAAAGATTTTAATATGACCTCTAGATTAGCATTATTTATGTGAACTTTATTAGCCTGAATAACATTATTGTTTCCCGAAAATATCCAACCAAAGTGAGTGTTTTGAAAAAAAAAAAACTCGGAAGCAATTTTAATTTTCGAGGAAACATCTGCTCCTAAAATAATATCAATAGGGTCAGGTTTAAAGAACAAGGGGTCAGCCAAGCAGCCATTTGTAAGTTTGGGCATATAAAGATATTCAGATGAAGAACCGGGGGTATATGAAGAAAGTGTGTGTAAAACTAAGGCCGAACATGACAGTACATGTTCCCTTTTACTGGAGTGTAAATCAATATTCACAAAATGTTTTGACAAATTTTCATAGCCATTACCGATACCAATCACTTTGCAGTGCGCCTTGGTCTTTTTCAAACCCAATAGCTGTACTATCAATTCAGAAATCAAACTCGCCTGCGATCCTGGATCTAAAAGAGCACGTAAAGGAAAGAAACCGCGGATTGTTCGAACCTGCAATCAAATAGTATATAACAAAACAGTTTGGAATGAATTTGCATTATGAATTGAGACTTGGGGTGTGTTGTTAACATTAGCATTGGACGGAGATGGTGAAACGGCTGAGGTTTGGTTGTCCTCAGAGTGAAGAACCGTATGATGAAGTTCTTTACAAATAATGCAACGAAATGGAGAACCACAATTAATGTGATCGTGTCCGACTACAAAACAGTTTCGACAAATCTTTTTGTTTGATAAGAATTCATCCTTTGAATGTAAAGGAAGAACTAAAAATTTAAAACATTTAGATAAGTAATGATTTGCCTTACAATATGAACATGAAATTGTGTTATTCTTAGAATAGTTACCAGTGTTACAAGAAGCCTTCTTGTACTGTGTAAAACTTTTATTACCCTTTAGGGGCTTTTGTTTTAAATTAAGTGAAAGTCCATCATTTATAGACTCTAAAGATCGGAATGTTCTTTCTAAAAACGAAAAAAGTTCATCCCGAGAGGACAGTTCTGTGGTAGATCTTAAAGATTGCTGCCAATCTTTTCTCGACTGAATGTCTAACTTTTGCACAAGTAAGTGTATAATAATCGGATCCCAGCTCTGGGTGTTTATATTCAGATTCCTAAGTGAGGATAAACATCCTTGGGCTGAGTCAAGTAAAGTTTTAATTGATTGAAATCCACCATCAGATTTTGGTATATTGAAAAGTTTTAGTATTAAATTTCCAACAAGCATTCGCTTATTGTGATACCTGGATTCTAGAATCTTCCAAGCGAAATCATAATTTGCCTCTGTGGCAGAAATACTTTTAATTAAATTTGCAGCTTCTCCTGATAGCGTGCCTTTTAAATAATAAAATTTCTGAACTTTATTCAGACAATCGTTATGATGAACTAGGGAGCAATATATATCCCGAAATATTCTCCTGAGAATTTTGGCAGTGATATATTCGGGAGTCTAGTGTCAGAATTAATAGTAGTATCTGACCGGCTATTAGGCGCGGCGAATGTACTAGCCATTGGGCTGTTTGTAGCAGAATGCTCTGAAAGAATGTCTATCAACTTTCCTTTAAATGTAAGATATTTATCAGAAAAATCCAAATTAATATCCTCATTTATATAAGGAACATCATTTAAATTTATGGATTCTTCATGAATTTGATGAACTATTCTTTCATGTTGTGCTTCAAACTTATGGAAAATATCGTCTAACCTTTGTACCAATGAACTTACGTAACCATTTGTCCTCTCATTGACATTTCTTTGTTCAAAACGAACCTCTAACTTGATTACCATTTGCAACAAATCACGTTGCTCTTTGATCAGGAGATCAAGATTGTTCATGGTTAGTTATGATTAGAACACCACTAAAAATTCAAAAGTCAAAGTTGCAGTGAAATTGGAAAGACTTCTAGATTCCCGGGTTTCGGCACCAATAATTATATTAAGTAATTATTGCTTAATTAAAGAAATATGTTAATTTATATTTTAATTCAAACAATGAATATGTTAAGTAGGTTTAGTTAAAGAAATATTCAATTTATTTAATCACTTTAATTTTACTTGCGATTTTTAAACCTTACTGTTGGAATACAACGAAGAGAAGAGATCGAAAAAAAGCTTAAAATTTAGAGTGTACCTAATTAGCACTTATTAATTTTAATTGAGTGACATTAAAAAACAAGTAAAACAAAATAAAGCAAAAATATCAAAAATAAATTTACATAAATATTGTAATATAAGTAATTCCGTTAATATCAAATGCACTCATAGAGATAAAAATGCAAGAGTGGTAAGAATGATGTATGTAAGTATGAACAGACACACATCACAATTACATCATTAACTGGTCAACAGATTAAATATACTACGATCAATTTGAATAGGTACACTAATTAAATTTAATTAATAAGATTAGAATAAATATAATTGTTCAATTTACAATCGATGTTGTAGCGTTGTATGCGTTGTATGTCAGCAGCTGCTACAATAGTCATAACAATGTTGTTGGTATTTTCTATGCAAAAGCTCTATACAACTCCTACGACAATTTTTCATATGTTTTTCGAATGTTGCACAGTGGGGCAGAATGGAAATTTTTTGGAAATAAATCTGGCATTTCTAAACGGCTGATCCGATCGGGATAAAATTTGGCGTGAGCGTAGCCAAGGTATCTTTACGCAGAACGCTTTGGCGTAAAAAACTTGTCCTATTTTTTGAAAATGTTGCCACTGCGTCCTTCCGAATATGACCTATTTTTTATCAAAACTTCAATTTTGGGCGACATGTTCTAAAATCCCAAAGCTGGGATCAGCAAACTGAAAGCAGTTTTGGAAACCTCAATATGTTTTCTATTTACTCCAAAAGTATTTTCCCAGCCCTGAAAGAAATGTGGACCCTATGGGCAAAAAAGTAAAAAATCCCATTTTTGGAATTTTCATTCCTATTTTTGGGAATTGTGGGATGCCCTATGACCTTTTCAATTTTTTTTCTTATTTAAAATGACAAATTTAACAGGCGTTGAAAATTTCATTGAGTTTTGTTCATAAATAAAGATTTTGTCATATATTACATATTTGTTTAATTTCTAAAACTATGATTTATATCAAAATTTTAATAGGGTCGCAGATAGCTACAACAATTTAGTCCATATTTTTCCCTTAATATCATTTTTTAGTTTGATATGGAAATTCTCGACCCTTTACAAAAAATTTCAAGCCAATATCTCAATTACATTCAAAAATATGTTCATTTAAACCTGTGTTGGCGCCGTTGCCGTCCACCGTTTATTAATGTTCCGATCCCTGCAAACGACTCTACATATGATGATCTGGCATCACCATATGTAGTGTGGTGAGTTGGCTCTTTGCTAACAAGAAGTGAATTGACTTTTTTTTGTTACATTAAAAAAAAACCAACAAGAGAAGTAGACAGACATAAGAAAAGGAACAAAAGGAAATTATTATTAAAATAAAAATTAATTAAAACCATAAAATTAAAGTAAAATTTATAAATTAAAATAAGTGCTAACTAAAATAGAATATAAGTACAAACACAAAGAAATAAATAAAAGAAAAACCTGAACCAATAAACAAAAAATAAGGGTGGTTTTTTTATCATAAAGAGAGAGTGCGTGTGTGTTTTATCGAAAACCGCGACCTATCCCACAGCAGTTTCCAGCCACTTGCAAACATCAGAACCAGGTAAACCCGTGGAAAGAAACATTGGTCCTTCTCCCGACAAATTGCTGAAAAAAAGGTGCGTAGCTTGAAGTATAAGTTAATTAAAGTGTTTCATTTGTGTGTCCCTTATAAATTTGTGTCTCGAAAAAGTGAGGTTATACCATTTTGAAAAAGTTAAAGTAAAAGTGGCCATTTTTCTACAGTACGTTGTTTTTGTATTTGTATTCCAATTTTTGTGCCAAAAATTTGACGGCCATCTTTTTTTCTCGCAGTTTTTTTTGCTAAGTGGAAATTTATTGGAAAGTGCAACAATTTAATTTGTGGTTCTTTTTAAATCGTGCCTTGGTTTAAAATATTAGTGGCTCTCTTTTTACCTTGTGTTTGTTAAAAATATTAGTATTTCTCTTTAATCTTGCGTTTATTAAAAACTGTAGTGGTTCTCTTCAAAACTTGCCTTTGATAAAAAGTTTGTAGTTCTCTTTCTAAATTGAATTTTTTGTTGCTCTTTTTTTAAAAAACTTGTCTTTGATTTTCCACTGCAAATATTTTGAACAAAAATGTCAATTTTTGAAAAGTATATTATCTCGGCGGACGAAATGATTATTTTTCTCATTATACGGATGATGCCTTTGAATTCGAAAGAAATGAATTGGATAAGGCATGGGAAAAGTACAAAGGCCTTTATGATGAATGTTCCGCTGAGACTATAGAAAAAAAGAAAGAACTTTTAATGGTCCAAACAAAACACCCGCAGATCCGTAAAGCATATGTGCGTTGCATAAACATAATTTCAAAGGCAAGAAAACACTTAGATAAAAAGAAAGAGGAAAATATAGAAGCAGGAGTTCCCAACCTTTGTAGTTCCATAGCTGTACCTCCGTGTGATACCGGTATTTTTCATGGCGATTACGTATCGTGGCCCACTTTTAGGGACATGTTTACGGCAATTTATATAAATAATAATAGACTTAGCCCTGTTGAGAAACTGTTTTACTTATTTAGGAAGACTGATGGCGAGGCTCGTGATATAAACAGGAATGTAGCTCTTACAGGAGATAATTTCGAAATCGCATGGAAGAATTTAATAACTCAATACGAAAATAAACGCGTATTAATAATTAGTCAATTAAAAGTATTGTTTAATCTGACTCCTTGCACACAAGATTCAGCACCAGAAATAAAAAGGCTCCAAAGGGAGATTAATAATTGTATGTCAATTTTAAAATTATATAAAGTTGATATTGGTTCTTGGGACCCCATATTTGTGTTTCAAAGCTCATCGCGTTTGTCTGAGTGTTCCCTAAATCTTTGGGAACAATCCGTTGGAAATAAAACAGAGGTTCCCAAATGGGAAGAGTTAAACAATTTTTTAACGGATAGATTTCATGCTCTAGAAAGCGTTTCTGATATCATATCTTTGAACAATACATTTGCCATTAGCTCTCAAATGGTTTTAAACAGTGACAATAAAACATCAACTAAAGTTAAACAATTTAAGGCCCATTATAACAAAGTAGATTCTTTACAATGTAAAATATGCAAAGAAAATCATAAGTTGATCACTTGCAACAAGTTTTTAAATATGGACTACAAAAATAGAGTCTCAACATTGAAAAAGTTTAGATTCTGTTTCAATTACCTAACTATTGGCCATATGTACGGTGATTGTAAAAGTCCAAATGGTTGCTCTAAATGCAAAAGAAAGCACCATACGTTAATGCATAAAGATTTTATAAAGAAAAGTACTCAAAATCAAGTAAATGATGGGTCTCAAATTGATAATCAAAGTAACAATAATCAAGTACAGTCTTCTAATATTGCCGGCCCTTCAGGGGTAGTACATTCGCACCATACGTCTGTTTCAAAAAAGGTTATGTTGGCTACAGCATGGGTCAACATTATTAAATTTGTGCTCGTATTACAAGGTACGAGCACTTATTGATCCTTGTTCAGATGAAAGTTTTATTTCTGAAAAAATCCAAAAATTATTGAATTTGCCTACTAGTCCAGTTACAGCTGAAATTACTGGTTTAGGCGGTGGTGTAATAAGCAAATCATCAAAAATGGCATTTTTGGAAATTGGTTCTCTTTTTGAGCAAAATTTGTCTCTCAATATTAAAGCTTTGGTCGTGCCTCAGGTGACTAGTAATGTTCCAACACACTCCTTTGTACCACTAACTGAAAATGATCTACCAAATTTAACTTTTGCGGACCCAAAATTTTATGAAAGTGGTAAAATTGATTTGTTATTAGGAGGTGATTTATATCCTCTTATACTTCGTGAGGGAGTTCAACATGGAATTTTTAATTCATTAGTAGCTCAAGAAACAATTTTTGGATGGATTGTCACAGGCCCTACACCAAATAATGTTTCCCCACAATTTATAAAAATGTCTTATATGACTAAAGTTTCTATTAATGACCAATTGACAAAGTTTTGGGAATTAGAGGAAGTTTCTCGAAGAAAAATTTTATCAGAAGAAGATAAAAAGTGCGAAGAGATTTATTGTTCCACTACAACAAGAAACTCGGAAGGAAGATATGTTGTAACTCTGCCCTTTAAAAACAATTTTCCAGTGCTAGGTCCAAATAGACATATAGCGGTTAGTCAGTTCCTTAGAAATGAAAAATCATTATTACGTAAACCTGAATTTAAGGCTCAATATGATGAGGTCCTCAAAGAATATATAACTTTAGAACATATGGAAAAGATAGAAGAATCCGAAAGTAGTCCAAGTTATTATTTACCTCACCATGGTGTATTTAAGCCGGAAAGTACTACTACAAAGATGAGGATTGTTTTTAACGCATCGAGTGTGTCATCTAATGGTAAAAGTCTCAACGACATGTTGTATGTAGGCCCTATACTACAAGCAGATTTAGTGGTCCTGATTTTAAAATGGCGATTCTTTCAGTTTGTCTTTAACGCGGATATTTCAAAAATGTATCGTCAAATTTTGCTAAAGAAGGAGCATAGACAGTTTCAAAAGATAGTTTTTCGTAGTTCTGGTGAAAATGAAATCGAAGATTTTCAATTAAATACTATAACTTTTGGCGTTAATTGTGCCCCTTTTTTGGCCCTTAGGACGCTACTAAAGTTAGCTGATGATGAAGAAAGATGTTTTCCACTTGGTTCTAGAATACTTCGTGAGTGTATGTATGTTGATGATGCTCTTGTAGGAGCACATTCTATTCCTGATGCTTTGGAGGCACGAAACCAATTAATTGGTATATTAGACACAGCTGGGTTTGAGTTAAGGAAATGGGCCTCAAACTCTAAACAAATTTTAAAAAATTTGCCCCAAGAGCATCTTCTTAACTCTTCTTTTTTGTCGCTCGATGATAAGAGCAATGCTAAAACTCTTGGTGTCCGTTGGAATGCGGCGGAAGACTATTTTTACTTTACAACTGAGAAGATTAAGTTCAAAACAGCTTATACAAAGAGGGAAGTACTCTCAATTATAGCAAGGCTATTTGATCCAGCAGGTTGGTTGGCCCCAGTGATTATAACAGCAAAGATTTTGATGCAGCAAATGTGGCTCGACAAAATAGACTGGGACGAACATATAAAACCTGTGGCTCTACAAAAATGGAAGACATTCATTTCTAATTATAATGAGATTAATACAATTAAACTAGATCGTTGGGTTCAATATATGCCTAGCTCTTATATTGAATTTCATGGCTTTTGTGACTCTTCTGAGTTAGCTTACGCAGCTACACTATATATACGTATTGTGAATGGTGATAAAGTTTACGTAAATCTTCTTATTGGCAAAACAAAAGTGGCTCCAGTCAAAAGGCCATCTTTGCCACGTTTAGAGTTATGTGGCGCAGTACTTTTAGCAAAGTTAGTAGACCGTGTTATCCCTAATTTCAACCTCAATACATATACTTTATATTTGTGGTCCGATTCTACAATAGTTTTAGCATGGTTACGAAAACCACCGTGCAATTGGAAAACATTCGTCGCAAATAGAGTAGCCACAATATTAGAAAAAGTTGGAAATAAAAGTTGGTTCCATGTAGCATCAAATGATAATCCTGCCGATATAGCAACCCGGGGGCTGATACCTTCGGAATTAAGAGAGAACACACTCTGGTGGAATGGCCCAAAGTGGCTAAGATTAGATAAATCTTGTTGGCCCACAAGTTTACTAGAATATGAGACTTCGGAAGAGTCCAAAAGGGTTCAAGTCAATATTGCTAGATCGTCAGAAAAAGAAGATATTCTTGATCGTTTCTCCAGCTTGTCTAAAGCCTACCACGTTATCGCTTACATATTCAGGTTTTTCAATTTGACAAATAAAAGCAGGCGTAAAACTTTCAACTACGATACTGTAAAAGTTTCGGCAAAAGAACTACTTTTTGTACGAAATCGAATATTTTCCGTATCTCAACAATTACACTTTTCTGAAGAGTTCAATAGTTTGCTCACGAAGAAACAGATTAGTCCCCATAGCACGTTATTAACCCTTACGCCTTTTCTAGATAAAAACAATATTATACGTGCTAATGGTCGTCTTGGTTCCACAACTTGTCTGTCCTATAACGAGCGACACCCTATTATTCTAGCTTATGGAAGTAGGTTAGCTCGCCTTTATGTGGAATTTGTGCACAAATTAGTTTTTCATGGAGGCCCTCGACTTGTTTTAAACGTTATCCGCCAAGAATGTTGGATAATTAAGGTGAAAAATCTGATCAAAACCGTATCTTATAATTGTAAAGATAAAGACAGGAAAAAACTCCAAACGCAAATTATGGCAGCCTTGCCCGTAGAAAGAACCACTCTAAGTCGCCCTTTTACTAACACAGGCGTTGATTTTGGTGGCCCTTTTGAGATTAAAAGTTTCACTGGTCGATATTGTCGTATCACTAAAGGTTACGTGTGCCTCTTTGTTTGTTTTTCCACCAAGGCCATACACCTTGAAGCAGTTAGCGATTTGTCCACTCAGGCGTTTCTGGCAGCTTTGGCTCGGTTTATAGCACGTCGTGGTTGCCCTAAGTGTATTTTTTCGGATAATGGTAGAAATTTTGTTGGCGCAGCGCGCGAACTTGGCTTAAACTTCGCAAAACACGTAAAAGAGCTACGTGATTCTGCTGTCGAAAAATATGGCCATCAACACCTAGAATGGAATTTCATCCCTGCAGCCGCTCCTCATATGGGCGGATTGTGGGAGGCAGGTGTAAAGAGCCTTAAATTACATTTTAAGAAAACTGCTGGTCAGCTTAAATATACTTTTGAGGAGTTTTCTACCCTTTTGGCACAGATAGAAGCGTGTCTCAACTCCCATCCTTTAGCCCCAATTTCAGATAGTGTTGAAGATTTGTCTGCCCTTACTCCAGGACATTTTTTAATAGGTACTGCTCTTCTCACCCCAGCAGAACCCGAAGAAGTATCCTCGCCGCTCAGTATTGTTAATAGATGGCGAAAAATTAAAGCTTTACAACAAGAATTTTGCCACCGTTGGAAGCAAGAATACTTAAAAGAGTTACATAAGCGCAACAAGTGGAAATTCTCTCAAATTGATCTGAAAGAGAATGATCTTGTTGCTCTTAAAAGCGAACCAACCTGTCCAACTGAATGGCGTTTAGGTCGAATCGTTAAGATTTATCCTGGCCCTGATGGGAAAGTTAGGGTTGTCGACTTAAAAACTCAAAATGGTATCATAAAGAGGCCCATTCACAAATTAGTTCTTCTACCAAATTGATTATTTTAAATATCTTTTAAAGCTTCTCTAATAACGTTTCTCATTTCCAGTGCACTATGTCAGAAGGTTTTTTCAATCCGAATTTTTGTTGCCCCTTATGTAATCGATTCCATGCCATCCGTCAGTGCTCCCGGTTCATCGTAATGACTGTTCAACGTAAGCTTAGAGTTGTATCCCAGTATTCTCTGTGCTACAATTGCTTGGCACAGTCCCACACTCGACCTGACTGTAAAAGTATCGATAGATGCCGCAGATGTATGCAAGACCACAATAGTTGGCTTCACCCAATGCCAGAAGGTCGCGTTTGGCTCCATATGACAGCTCACGTTAGAGTAATTACTCGTTTGGGAGGAGCTGAACGGTGGACTCGCGCGTTAATTGACCCAACAACCGCAAGATCATCGATGACGGCATCGGAGGCTGAGAAGCTGGGTTGTAAGATAAAAAATGGACGAACAACAATTACCGTGTTCCACAGAAATGAGAGCGGCCGTCGTATTGTGGTTGAATGTGTGGTGGAGAATACCAGGTATGGATGTAGTCCTACATTTTCCGTCGAAAGAGAGTATAGACGCTCCCGTGCGTCGGATGACTGCGATGCCAATCCACACTGGCATCGAAGATTGGAATACCATCTGATACTAGGAGCGGATGTTCAAGGTAAGATCCTTATTGGACCAGCTCGAGGACGCCCAGGCAGCATATATGTGCAGGACACAGTTTTTGGTTTCGTGTATTTTGGAGAAGGTATCAAAAAAGACTAATTTGTGGCTCTATATATATATTGAATTTTACATGAAATGTCACTAACCTTATTTGTAGTTCATATTGAGATTTAATTGAATTTTATTTATTTTTTATTATCGTTATTATTCTCACTTGAAGTGTTTATTTTTTTATTATAATTAAAAATACGAATGGATTGATCTCATTTATCTTTACTTTAAATAATGAATTTAATTTATTTATAAGAATATACATACATGCCTTTTTTAAATATTGTTTATTCCTACTTACTCATTATTCTTTTTTTATAATTTTTAACTAAATCTATGGAAATCTAAATTTTTTTGCACTATCGTTGCAAGGCCGGTGGTATGTTGGCGCCGTTGCCGTCCACCGTTTATTAATGTTCCGATCCCTGCAAACGACTCTACATATGATGATCTGGCATCACCATATGTAGTGTGGTGAGTTGGCTCTTTGCTAACAAGAAGTGAATTGACTTCTTTTTGTTACATTAAAAAAAAAAAAAAAAAAACAACAAGAGAAGCAGACAGACATAAGAAAAGGAACAAAAGGAAATTATTATTAAAATAAAAATTAATTAAAACCATAAAATTAAAGTAAAATTTATAAATTAAAATAAGTGCTAACTAAAATAGAATATAAGTACAAACACAAAGAAATAAATAAAAGAAAAACCTGAATCAATAAACAAAAAATAAGGGTGGTTTTTTTATCATAAAGAGAGAGTGCGTGTGTGTTTTATCGAAAACCGCGACCTATCCCACAGCAGTTTCCAGCCACTTGCAAACATCAGAACCAGGTAAACCCGTGGAAAGAAACAACCTGTGTCCTTTAATTTCATCTTTTTCATATTTTAGTATTAAGTATGACAGAACATACATTTGGTGTTGAATAAAATATTTGGACAATTTTTAAAAATTATTTAGTTAATTATTTAATTAAAGATTATAACATTGTATATACAATAAAAAAATTATAATTTTATTATGAGCCACGCACAACAACACCTAAATCACCCCACACATACCACCTTTCCCGCCCACCGAAACATAAAACACAATTTAATACAATATCAGCAGTTAGTATAATAGCTATTTTTATTTGAACTGTTTATCTTAAACATAATACAATTAATTCTTACAACCTACTTATATAGTTAATTCCTAACACTACTTATTTTCTATAAAATAATCTGTCATATCGGTATACATATCCAGAAGGTAATATAAGTCCTTTAAATCTTCCTTGTTTTGAGATTTGTTTGAGAGTTTCATAACAAATCCATCTTTTTCACATAGTTGAAAGAACAGGATCAGAAGATAGAAGTAAACTATTAAGAATATCTTCATTCTGTGATTGCCTGGAGCATTTTCTTGAGCTGAATAGTTGAACATGCTTAAAATCTCGATTCCTCGCTTCCTGGGCTTCTTCTGTTAACTCTCCAAGTGGAAGAATATTCGATTCAATTATTATTTGACCATGACACAATACTTTGTGTACTGTTGGTTTAGTTCCCTCCATGGATACAGAGATACAAGTAATTTAGAAATTTCAGATGTATATTCCCCAAATCGATTTCTATTAATTTTATGTTTACTATTCAGTGCCATTAAAATAGTGATAACTCTTCGAAGCAACTCCTTGTCGATTCCAGTTATTTTTGAAGTAATTTCAAAATCACGAAAAAACCATCTCGCCGTATTACCGTCATTTGTACTACCGCAACTTGGAAGTGGTTTGTCGATGTTTAATCCCATCTGAACTTTAAATTCTTCTTGGATTCTGCTTTTTTCCGCAGCTCTCAGTTCTTTCAATTCTTCATTATTTTTTGTTGATTTAGTAAGATTCTCTGGCACAATTCTATATTTGAGGTCGTATGCTATGTGTAAAAAGTAATCCAAAAATCGTATTCTGGCATGAAGTGGTGAAATTCCGAAAATCATTGTTAAGCTTAGCTGATATGATACGTTAATAGAGAATTCCTTTATTTTTATGCAAATGGTCTCCAGTGCATTTATTTCATCTTTTAAATATTCCACTAAATCTTTTGTTGTTTTCTTTGACTCCTTTATATATTCAAATCCAATTGGTCTACAAAAATTTTTTGAACCCGGAGTTGTATTGATCCATATATCTTCAAATGAATTTCCGATGCTTGACGATGATGGATTAAGGGAATATGAACGAATTCGTAATGGCACTAATGATGACATAAATACACTTTTGTAGTCTGCTAATGTCCGACTTCCACAAGCTTGTTTGTATTCTGGAAGTGCTGATAAACCCCCCCACACTTACACATTAAGACAACATCACAGTTATGAATTTTCCTTAGTTGGTCTTCTGAAAAGTCTGACACAATTCTTGATGCTGTGTTTTCGAGCAAAGATGATATATCAATACAAGCTTCCACATCATTAACAGCAATAGGTGATGGTATGATAGTTTGTTTTTTTCCTGGATCGCCTTGTATGATGGTAATATATTGTGTCCTTTTTCATGCAGAGCATTCCTTAATATTTGGTACTTATTTCGACTGAGACCCAGTTCCAACATAAGCGCTATTGCTTCCTCTTCAGTAAAATTTGATTGTGATGTTGGAGTTGGTATACTTTCCACAATTCCCTTAAGTCGTTTTGGTGATGCATTAGGAAGAATAGTTGCAATATGTACGGCATCCATAGGTTGGTTTTCCTTTTTCAGCATTTCGTTAAATGTATCAGCAATTTCCTCATTTGAGATTGAACAAAGTTTTTGTGTGACCCTCTTTTATTTGACCTTGAACATAAGTCTTCGTATGACTTGCAAGGCGCTCCTGTTGATGTGTTGTAAGTTGAGATTTCCGTAGTAGTTTCCATCCAACTACAAAATTTTAATCGAAATTTCTTTTGATTTCCATCCACAGACTTACTTTTTACATCAAAAAGTTTTAAAAAGTTTTCAATTTTTGATATGCCTGTTTTGTCTACTTTTCTACTATATGTAGTTTTTATATAATTTGAAATGTCTTCAATTCTTTCTGGCGCTTTTGAAGATACACTCCATAAACCGGAACACAACTCTTCGTACTTTAATGTAATCTTCATTGTAGATTTATTAAATATGGTACTTAAAATCTGAGAAGTTTACTTATATACCAATTCTTGTCATTTCCGATACAGGTATTCCAAAGTAAAAAATTACGAATTGTCTACCTATTAACATTTAGGACTATATTACTATAACCTGTAATTCAGTCATTGATATTTCTTATTAGTGAATGAATCGAAATTATCATTACCTGTATATTTTTACCTACATGATCATAAACGAAACAGAACGACATGATCTGTCGAAAAAATTTAGGTAAAAAATAGTTATAAGTTTTTTAAAATTTAAGCATAATAGGACCTTTCAATTATAAGGATAAGCAAACAAATAGAAAATAGGTAAATATAAGATTTAAATATGTTCTGTCATACTTAATACTAAAATATGAAAAAGATGAAATTAAAGGACACAGGTTTAAATGAACATATTTTTGAATGTAATTGAGATATTGGCTTGATATTTTTTGTAAAGGGTCGGGAATTTCCATATCTAACTAAAAAATGATATTAACGGATAAATATGGACTAAATTGTTGTAGCTATCTGCGAGCCTATTAAAATTTTGATATAAATCATAGTTTTAGAAATTAAACAAATATGTAATATATGACAAAATCTTTATTTATGAACAAAACTCAATGAAATTTTCAACGTCATTTCAAATAAGAAAATGCAAAAAAAAATTGAAAAGGTCAAAGGGCATCCCGCAATTCCCGAAAATAGGAATGAAAATCCCAAAAATGGGATTTTTTACTTTTTTGCCCATAGGGTCCACATTTCTTTCAGGGCTGGGAAAGTACTTTTGGAGTAAATAGAAAACATATCGAGGTTTCCAAAACTGCTTTCAGTTTGCTGATCCCAGCTTTGGGATTTTAGAACATGTCGCCCAAAATTGAAGTTTTGATAAAAAATATGTCATATTCGGAAGGACGCAGTGGCAACATTTTCAAAAAATAGGACAAGTTTTTTACGCCAAAGCGTTCTGCGTAAAGATACCTTTTAGAAAACTATAAAATTGTCATATGTTCTTATAGAAAATTTTATTTTATTAATAAAAGAGTTAAGACACATTTTTGGCAAAAAACGGCAAAAATCTAAAATTTTTTGAATTTTTAAATTAAAAAACGTATATTTTTGGATCTGTAAATAATATTGATCTGA